GCCCGCCGAGGGCTGCAGGCGACGGGCCGAGCCCGCGCGCCGGCCCCGCGGGGAAAGGGACTGCAGGCGCGGGGCGCCGGGGTCGGGTCAGCGCCTCCTCTCGATGCCCTCGCGGACGGAGCCCTTGACCTTCCCCGCACGCAGCCAGCTCCGCGCCTGTCACCAGCAGCAGCCAGCAGCTCGACCCCGGTGGAGGAACGAGTCTCTTGCAGCTGGGTTGAGCCCTGCGAGACATTTTCTCGTCCCCAGCGGGTTTATGAGGCGTCGTTGTAGTTGAAAATGCTTCTGACTGTTCTTGTACTACCCAAAGTTACACATCTGGCAGAAGTGATGACATAGCTGAAATGATCCTTGTTTCAGGATCCTTGTTTAGGTGACGATGAGATTTTACGCTTCGGGGTGGACCCAAGTTACAAGTATTGCATTTTTTTGTTAGGGTACCATTTTAGTATGGTTTCCATTGAAAATGGTCGAATGTACATCTATCTAGGTACGTCTTTCAAGACTGATCTTTTTTAGCGATTCTTTTTAGACAGAATGCTAAAATGTTTCTTTTTCTCCTCTCTTGACACGTTTCCTGGCGATTTTCTACATTCTACAGAGTTACCAGCTGAAGAAGGTAAGTAATCCTAAAATGTTCTTTCTCTTCATCCCCCCTCACAACCTTTGTGTGCCGATGTTAAGATGACATTTACGACAAATATATTTGTTTCTAACAGGAAAAACTTTGCTGGAACTTGTGATTGAGCAGTTTGAAGACTTACTAGTTAGAATTTTATTGCTGGCAGCATGTATATCTTTTGTAAGTATAAAGCAATTGTTTTCTCTCCAAAAAGTTTAGAGTGTTCTATAGATAAGAAACCAGGAAATAAATGATGCCTTTTGGGTTAGAATATTATATATGGAGGTTTAAGCTGTGTTTCCATGATTCTTTTTAAAACCCAGGTATTTTTTAAATTATAAAACACTTGAAGCTATGCATGAACAGAAAATAAATGGATGCCTGACATTTAAGTGCAATTAGAAATTATTGCCGAATGTGGCAGGGTCTTATTCTTTATCAGCTTTTAAGATCAAAAAGTTCTTTATTGGAAGGCCATTTCGGTTTGGGGTTCTTCTATTGTGTAAGATCATACTAAGATGATGTTGGGCTCTTTGTAGTCTGTAAATAGAACTTACAAAAGGAATATTCCAGTTGCTCTCTTGTCCTGGTAATGGCAAGGTGACAGTTGTTTCTGACAGTGACAGGAATGATGACGGCAGTGATGGCACCACTGTTGACCAAATTTGGTCACTGACCTTTAGGGTGGTATATTTATCTAAATTGGACCCCTGTCTTGAGTGACTCCTAGGTTAATAGAACAAGGTACAATAGGTTCTAGATCTTAAAAAAAAAAACAAAACAACATAGTGTTTTCTCTTGTTCTTTATGTGCTTACCCGCTTGAGTCTTGTATGGTTGCTAAGAAACTGGTGAAATGCACAGAACTGCAGCAGAAGAAAGGTGATGGGGGTTGGTGAAGATATTTCTAGGTTATTAACATTTTCTTCTGTTCACTATTTTTTATTACATTTTTTCTTGGGCAGTGGACTTCTTGGTAGTTTTCCTAAAAATGGTCATGAATAGGACACAGATGTTCTTAATCTTAACAGCATGAGATGCCTTTTGTTCTTAAATTACAGTATTTTGTTCTTGCAAAAACCATGATGGGAAGAGAAATTCGCCCAGTGTAATACTTTTTTCAGGCTTCGCAAAATTGACACACCTTCAAGGTTTCATTTTTATACATTTGTATGTATGCAGGCCCCAGAGATCTACCTCAGTCTTTTTCACAGCCATACCGTAGAGGGCTATTTTGAGAACTAAATTAAAGGAAGCAGTGGACATTTCTTTTGATGAAAGGGAAAAAATTGGAAAGAGGTGAACGTTTTTTGGGGGTAATTCTGAACACAAATTCTGCCATGAGACTAATATATTATGCCGTGTTAGCCAAATGATGTGTAGCCATTAATCAGTTCTCACGAATCTTTTCAATGGTTTTCACTGAATAAAATTAAGAGTGACATATCAAACCATTCAACATCTTGAATTAATCATTCCACACCCCTTACATGTCTGTTCTTAATGAATTTACCCCCGCCCCCACCAATAAATGGTTGCTGTTTTAACCCGTTAAAGGAGTAGTCAATTGTATTATAATGGCTATGTACAGAACCAGATGGGTGCTAGAGTAACGAGGGGGATCACTTCATAAACTATGTAAATGTCTAACCAATGTATTGTATACCTGAAACTAATATAAAATTAAAAAATTTAAAATCATAAAGGAATAGATCTATTTGATTAACTAGTTTCAATACATTGTCATGGGGCAAAACAAGTTATATTTAGGCTAGAATAATATATTTCAGTTGGCTACATAATTCTGAAATAGTCTTAGCTTTGGTAGTTAAAATACTGAGGATCAGTAAGATCATCAGTAATAGACCAGTAATTAGCTGGTATATACAATGCAGAGATAAGATGTTGAGTTATTCTGTGTGTGTGTGTAACTTAAGGTACTATTATAACATCAGTGGCATTATTTCCAATAAAGCTATCGACTATTTAGATTGTATGGGATCTTGAGTGGCCAGTTTGTTAACATTTTGAATTAATGATGTGTGTAATTTTTACATTGAAGTAATTTATAGTTTCTAGGTGTTTTCAAATGAGTTTTAAAATAAATGCTTTAATTGCGTTGTAAGGTAGGATGTCGGGTTTTTGTAGCTTTAAAGAGTCATGTTGGAGTTTGAGTTACCTTTTGATAACTACTTGGAGTTATTGCTCAAGGAATGAACTATGTTATGTTTTTATTTACGAGTTACTAAACAAAAATAACGTGGTTTAGGAATTACTGTTACTTAATTTGCTTTGATTTGTTTGACTAAGAAATGGCAGATCTAAAACCTGATTTGTTGATTTTCTTCATGGGGGGGTTGGCACTACTGCTACATTGTACTTGACCTTTTATTCTTCATTTCTCTAACTTTCAAAGGTGCACTGAGTCTTTTGGGATAGTTTATTCCTAGTAGTTTAATAGGAAAAACCTGATGGAATACTCATGTTCTTTTGGAGAAGTGAATAGGTAGTTCTATATATGTGATAATTATCAGGTTCTGTTTAAGTTAAAAAGAAATATTAGACTTTAGCGTTTTATTTCAGATATCAAACTAAGTAGTAAACTGTTAACCATAGTTAATATTTTGCTGTGGCAGAAAGAGGAAACTCATGAATGTTTTACACGTGACCTGTGGGGATAAAGTTTTAATTCTAATGTTCATCGAAATAGTTTATTTTAAAGGTCACTTGGATTGGAAGAAGTCATTTTTTATCTACCATTGCGTATGAAGTAACAATAGAAATTTCTTAATTTTAACATTCAGGACCTTGTATCCTTTCACTTTGTCTTTCCATCCTTCTTAGTCACCAACTTTGCCATTTATATAACATCATATGGTTGTTTACCTGAAATGCACCTCCTTCCCTCTTTTTCACTGGTTAGGTCTCTTTTTTTCAACACCTGGTACATGGCACAGACATTGGGGATACAGCATCAAAAAAAAGCCTCTTACCTGGAGCTGACATTCTAGTAGAGACATAATAAGTAAAATACGTAATAATCCGTTGGACGGTGATAGTGCTGTGGAGTAGAGTGGAGGCGGAGGTGGTAGAATAAGGAAGTATGGGGAAGGGAGTATAATTTTCAAAACGAGTGGTCAGGGAAGGCCTCTAAGAAGCTGACATTTGAGAAAAGACCTGAAGGAGGTGAGCATGAAGGCCATATGTGTTTCATTTATCTGAATCATAAAGTCTTCTATGGTAATGCAATTTGTGTAAGTTTCTTTACCCTCCACCTCCATTTCCCCAGCTCAGCTACTTAGAGCAACCCTAAAATGGTAATAGAACTTTCTTAGTCTCAACTTACATTTGAATAATTATCTTTTTTTTCTACTGGATCCTTTAAAGGGATTCTTAATACTTTTTTAGAGCCTACATTATTGCTTTCGATATAACAAATATTTGGGTGAGTTTGTATCAGTAGCATTTTCAAAATATGTGTGACTCGTTTGCTTTGGTTTTCACAGAACAATATATTCAAGAAGTATTCGATATGTGGTGATTTGTAAATTTTTCCTGTTTCCTTTTAATGTCTCATTTTAAAAAAGGTAAAATGGACAGTTAACTGATTGGTTTAACTAATTTAGATCCTTTTAAAAATATGATTTGAAAGGTGAATGTATGTGGGTTTTTTTTTTTTTTTTTTAAGAAGAGTATACTCTCAAATCTGAAAACATTGAGGGATGTTTTCACATAAGCTTTGTGTTGGCATCAGAAGAGAATGTTGTCTTAATTCATACTTTTTTTTTAATGGCTGAGAGAATTTTTGTTACCTACCCCCAGAAAATTGCTATAACATTTATTGGTGATGTTTTTTCATTCTTGTAAAATGTTTGATTTCCACTTTTTTAAAAGATTTTTTTGATGTAAATTTCTTCATTTATTGAACAAGTTTCTAAGGCTACGAGGAGGAATGCAGACTGGTGCCATCCTCTGAAAAACATGCTTGTGATCTCTCTCATGTTCTTTTTATGGTCTCATTAAGAGCTCAGCACACTATCCAATCTATAAGTAACTGAGTCACAGTACCGTGACTGTCTCCCAGTTCACCGGAACATGCCCTTTTACCTTGAATTAAAATTTGCTTTATTCATTAAAACTACTCTCCAGCATCTTTTGGCTCTCCTGACAGAAGTTATTGTGCTATACAAATATCAGTCTTACAGATACCTTACTCCTACCCTATTTAAGCACTTTAAATTGTAGTAGAGCATTCATTAGCATGTGGTTACTTTGAATAGGATTGAAGAGTTTGAAACTTTGAACTTGTGGATAATGTAAGCCCCAGAAGGCATGTAATGTTACTGTACTTAAACAGTGCAAAGCAAAGGGAAGAAGAAACTTTATGCCTAAAATTATCCTGCAGTAGTCTTTTCTTCCACTTTCCAGTTGTTACTGTTGATGAAGTTGGTTATCTTTTTGTTCTCTTAATGTTTAAGTTCATATACTGCCACTTAGGATCTTATACCTTAGAGGTTTTGTTTCATTCATTCATGTATCTGTTCAATAAATATGTAGTGAGCATCAACTATGTATAAGAGACTCTTCTAGGCTCTTGGGGATACACAGTGAACAAAAGGCAATGCAAACAGATAATCTTTTATGTTCAACCTGTTCTCAATAAACATTTTTCAAAACATTTCACCCATCCTGTATAAATGTTTTGTATAACTTCCTGTATACTGTAATTATGAATTACCTGTACTGTTAGGCTAATAAGGCATTTTGCATTTTGGTAATAATGTGTCACCCATCCAATTTCTCTGTCCTTTTCTTCTACCCTCTTCCCCATCTCATGGAGTCTTTTTGTTAGCATCATCTTCCCACTTACACAAGAAGTTTTCTTTATGATAGAACAAAACCATGAAGGATTGCACAATATGATTTCAATATAATTGGTTGGATTAGTTCTTACCGGTTAATGAAATGTGGTGGACCTTTATTTTGGGCTGTAGCATTTAATTCTTTGGGTTATTTGTGGTTTCAAAATAGACATTTTAAAAAATATTCAGGAGATTGTTGGTTGTCAATTTTAAGCAGATTTAGCACCATCCTTCTACCCTAAGGGATTGGCCTACTAGTTTCTTATCAAGCAGTAATTGGTATATCTGTAAAACTTTCAAATAATCGAATGCCTGTGTTTCTTACACATAAACATTTAAAGTCATATAGTGGAAGGAAAGCCTACTGCATTGTACAGATTAGGATTATTACATTACTGATGAACACCGCTTGTGCAAAGGAACTACCCATTTCTTGAAGAGTAGAGGTTTGCTCTGATAGTCCTGTCACTGCCTTAGTCTTTTTTTTTTTTCTTTAGCTGTTATGGAATATTGTTTTAAGTTTATTCCTCAGGCCTAGCTGCCAAGAGGGAAATTCATATCCGCTTTAACAAGGTGTGAAGCTTATCTTAACAGTTGCTAATGCCTCACTGACCTTTTGGAAAGGTCCTAGTTACTCTTCAAGTTGAGCAATTTTTCTCCCCCAAGAGCTAATTAAATTTCTTATTTCTGATACGCTCTCCGTGGCAAATGTTTGGAAGGCTAGTATCAAAGCAGCTGTGATGTTGCATCTATCAAAATTTATAACTTCGTAGAGAAGTTTTCATTTTGGCATTGGGCCTGACTTTAACACCAGGAGTACCCTGTTGAAAGCCTGCAGCAGCATTTATATTCTTTCTGGTTTTCTGCCTGCCTTGGTTCACTAGCTGTCAGTGGTGATTGTCATCTACCAGGTCTAGGTCCTTATGTCTCCTGGTTTTTTTCCTGCTTAAATTGGTATTTTTTGTTAATTCATCATTACCCTCTTTTACTTAGCAAAATTCATGTTGGGCCTTGCCTTAGTCTTTCTGGTTGTTGCTGTTTGTTTAAAAGCTCACTTAATAGTATTCCACTAAGTACAAATAGTTAGATCCTTCATTATTGCCATAAACGATGTCCGACTATTAAAAAATATCAAAAACAGTGCATAATTTTATTTGCTAAATAGATCTTTTAAAGAAAAGGTTTTGTGAAATATGCGAACACTTAAAGCAATGTTAAAAAAAAAGGCAAATCTTACCTCTCAGGTTGAATCATTAGAAATATTTAACATCCTTTCTGGATTGGCAATTTTCCACAAAAATTGGTGGTTAAATTTTTAATCATATTAAGATTCATTGTGTTGAGTTTTCTCTGGCTCTTGTAGCTTTTAAATCTTATGGTTGTGTGAGCTAGAAGTTAATTCTCTGCTCCTTTTTCTTGGCAGTGTTCTGTGTCCAATTATAACATTTTTGGACTTGTGTCATTTCTGAAATGCTATGCTGCTAAACTAGATGTCATATGGAGAATAACCTTCAAAATACATTCCTGATTATGGAACAATCTTGCGATAATTCTGAGATCAGTAATACCACTGAAAATAAGAAGGGGATTAGCAGTTAATGTACTTTAAAATTTTGAGTCAGTGATCATTATCTTTACAATGAATTTATGCCACAGTATTTTATTTGATATGAATATTATTTGATATGAATATTACCCAAGTCAACAAAGTTGATGATTGCTTTTTACTTTAACAAAATCAGGAAATTTTTATTTCTTCTGAAAATACACATAAAATGAATGCAATTTATTTTCTAAAATATTTTCTTTGGATTTTAAAACAATTATTACATGAAAAATAAGTTCAAAGGTATTGTTAAGTTGTACAGTTTTGATTCTCAAGAACTATTTTGAACAAGACATAAGCTAGTTATTTATGTCATTACAGTTTGCCATCATTTTGTTTCCAGGGAGAGTAAGAAAAGAGATTTTGTATATCGTGATTCTTTTAGTGCCAGCCACTTTTGTTGTAAAGTGGCACTAAGCCCAAAAATACATTACAGTTTTAACACATGCCATTTCTCTTTTAGGTTTTGGCTTGGTTTGAAGAAGGTGAAGAAACAATTACAGCCTTTGTAGAACCCTTTGTAATTTTACTTATATTAGTAGCCAATGCAATTGTGGGTGTATGGCAGGTAAGCAACAATTACTGCCCTGCTAAAGTTTAGTAATTTATGTGACTTAAACGGTGTTAATCTTTCTGCTATCTGTTTTTCCTGATGTGTTTGTTGACTAAAAATACCTCTGTGGAATGTCTATGTTTGTTTTTTCTTTTGTCTTTTTATTTAATGGCACAATTTTGGACCTCATGTGCAATACTTTGCTCATGCATATATGAACTGCTCAGTCTTCGTGGTAACATGGAGTTAAGAACAGTGGCTGAGAGAAGCTACTTAAGGAAAACCATAAAATTTGAGAACCAGTATCTGTCTTTATATTCCCTAGCTGCTTCCTGTGAAAAACTTAATGACACAATGTCATTTTTATTCTCCTTAGATTTTGTGTATGTGTGTTGGGGGGGCGGGGGTTAGCTATAAAAATTGTCTAAATCCTAGATTCTTTCTTTTCAGAGCTTACTCTTGGCTGTTTTCCTTCAGTTGCCCAGGCCTTTCTTACTCACAGAATGGAAGCTAATTTTACTTCAGAAACAAAATGAGATTTCTTCCCCCTACTCTCCCACCCCCAGCTCACATTATTGTCCTTATGCACATACCTAGTTTCAGGACTAACTTTTCTAGGACTGTTGATCTGTTTGAATTTTTTTAAAATTCTAAGATTAATACTTCAAATACTTCAGGTTTTTATGGATATAATCGTCCCTTTGAGGACTAAAATATAGCGTAGCTGTCATTCTTCAAGTGTAAACTTCTGATCTTATTAATAAACATGAAGATCTTTATGTGGTGGGATTATATAGAAAGATGGCCTACTTAAAAATTTTTTTTACCCCCCGTCACCCCCCTTTTTTTTACCCCATCCCTAGAAAATTTTAATTGTGCTATATTTCTTTCTTTTTTTTTTTTTCTTTTTTAATCGTTTAAGTACAAATGATCCTTGTGAATATTTTAGGCAAAGGAAACTGCCTAATTTGATTACCCTTCTCAAGCTGCTAATACATATTTTTTATTAAGTAATTTATGCCAGTTATGTATTAGATACTTCATACACATTCTCATTTCATCCTTACTGTGTCATCTTGTAAGGCAGATGATATTCCCATTTGACAGATATGACATTGATGTTCACAGTGATTAAGTGACTTATCATAGGCCATATAGGTAGTACATAGAGTATCTGGGATTTGAATCCAGACCCAGGCTGATATAAATTCCAAAGTAAAATTTTACAGCAGTTTTCATAAAACTTTTTTATTGTCTTAGTTTAAAAAAAGAATAATATTCTTAAGTCTTAATTTTATTTACGTCGCATACAGAATGGTATGGGCAATACTGGAGAGTTCTTGCCTTCTGGAAGAAAAATAATTATAGTGTAGGGTAGTATTGGGTGGTGGGGGTGGGTACAGATTTCTGACCAGTGACATCAAGGAAGACTTCTTACAGGCGGTGACAGGCAACTGGGAGCTATTGAGAAACAGTTTTATGGGCGGAGGCTGGCAAGAATATTCCATAGAGGGAGCGGCATGAGCAAAAAGATACAAACTGTTTAAGGAACGACACTTAGACCAATTTGGGTTTGGGTTAAAAAGGTGGGAGTTATCCTTCTGTTTGTAGTGCGTTAGGTATATTTGTATTTCCCCAAATTGACTTGTTTCTCATGTAACCTAGTTATGATGATTAGCTTCCCTTTCCCACCCCCACACTCTAAATATTCCTTTTGATAGTTCGAGTTGGAGGGAAAGTGTTTTAAGTGATTTTAATTGGCATCTTTGTCTTTGGTATCTGAGATCAATTATCTTTTAAGTTTATGCTTCTATTTTAAATGTACCTTTGCTAGTTTTTAGTGGGAGCAAAATATAGTCTCCTTAACCTTGAGTGATCTAGTTAAATTCGACCTGACGTGACCTTGATGAGGGAGTAAAGGAAGTAAAACTGCCACAATTATAAATTTAAAAGAGAAAAAGTAATTTCAAATTTGACAATAAAATTTTGAGCATTGCTACTATTCATTGCTACAACATCAGTTACATTTGAACTTAATCTGAAGGATCTTAGAGCAGTGACATTAGTTAGGGTTAAATATTCTAATAGTTCTGTTAATTATAAGGTGTTGCAGATCTACTCATTCTTTAGCAGATCTGATAGGGGAATGAAATTATTTTTATCATGAAGTTCCAAAATTTAAGGTTTCCTGTACATTTTTATGGGTATATACCTTAAAAATGAGACGCATGTTGTTGGTAGCTTTGTTTTGTGTCATCTAAATTCTCAGGTTTAAGGATTTTTCACAACAGACCATAATTCTTAGAACAAGGTAAAAAATGAGATCACATAATATTGAGCATAAATTCTGTCCAAGTAAAGGTTAAATTGAAGAGCTTTAGATTGGAGGGCCAAAATGTGAGAGAAATTAAAATCTTTTATTTTGTCTATTGAGTAACCTTACCTGGGCATGTACTCTGCAGACTCGCTCCTTAACTTCTAATTGCTTATTCTCTAAAAGAACAAATTTGGCACAGAAGCTTTTCTTTTTTTTTTTTCTTAAAAGAACTTTCCTATAGCTTTTTTTTTTCCCCAACATGACTCATTTTGATTCTATATCTTTCATCTTGAAATTAGGAAAGAAAAACTGTGTGACTTAAGTCCGATATGTTCATGTATAATATGGTAAATGAGGAATGTGACTGGCAGTGCTATGATGGGATTTCAGCCATTTAGTGTCCTTTACCACTGGAGAGAGATTTCTTAGCATTTGTGAGACGTAACATGATTTTCTTAATTCATCACTCATGGCTTTTACCATGTGCCAGAACACAGTCTAAGCATTTTATAGACAGCATGTAAATCCTCACAGCCCTTGAGGTAGGTGCTGTAAATGTCCTGGTTTTGTAGGCAGTAAACCTGCGTGTTGTGTAACTTATCCACAGTCACATAGCTGTTAAGTGGAAAAGTCTGGATTGGACCTAGACAGTCAGGCCCCAGACAGTGATGGTTCGTGTGAGACAAGATCAGTTTAGAAGGTGTAGGTGTGTGTGGCCGGATGTGAGGGAGGTGTTTCACTGTGCTTGGGGACAGTGGATTCTAACTGCTTTTCCCCCTTATGATTTTATCCCCTTACCCTTCTTGGGCTTATTTTTTCATTTTTACACAAAACATAAGGGCCTACTGTTCTTTACCTTAAAATGTGAATTGTTTACTACAAATGTACTTCTCGTATCTTTGTAAAGTTTAAATTAGAACACTAAAATGTGATTGCTTGGGCTAGAAATACTTGCAGTGGTAGGCATGTGTCCACTACTTTTATCATGTTTTTTTTTTCCTTCTCTTTTTTTTATAGGAAAGAAATGCTGAAAATGCAATCGAAGCCCTTAAGGAGTATGAGCCTGAAATGGGCAAAGTATATCGACAGGACAGAAAGAGCGTACAACGGATTAAAGCTAAAGACATCGTTCCTGGTGATATTGTGGAAATTGCTGGTGAGTTGATGTCATTTTTGTTTTAATCTTGATTGTATATCTGAATGAACTCTTTATGAAGGCTCATAATTGTTTAAAAAATTATGCTCATACGTATCAATTTCGGTGCCATCCAAACAAATCAGGTTTTCTGTAAAATTATTTCAGAGTTTTTTGGCACTTCTCTTCATGCTGTGATGCTTTGAATTATTGTGTTTATTATGATAAAACACTAGTGCTAGTGAGCTACTGATTTGACAATTAGTTATAATGTAGTTTGTTAGAATACTAGTTAATGGCTGCGTAGTTTTTTCTGTTTTGGTTTTTGGCACAAATGTTAAGTCATACTCACAGTTATCGAACTAAGTTTATAGCTAAGGGTAATTTCATGACACTAAAAGTTCTCCTTAAAAAATACTTTTACATTACGCTCAGCCATTGTTCTTAGCCTGGGCTCTATAGGTGAGCTTAAGAGTTTGTGAATCCACTGCAAAGCCAGAGCTCTCTGCCGATCTCAAGGAGGTCTGTATCCTCAATGCTCTAGATCAGTGCCACGTTTTCAGGCAGCTCAGGATGCTCCTGGAACAGTCCAGTCTTTTTGCTAGAGTCATTACATTGGATTATTCGGATATCATGATTTTTCACACACACTCTTCTGAGCTCAGAATGTGTGTGTGTGTGTAAGAGAGCAAGAGAGAATTATCTCAGTAATGCTTTTTACACTTGTTGGGAAAGTGTGCTTTGTCTTTTTTGTCTTAACTCATTTGAATAAAGAATTTAAAGAGCTGCATCTCTTGGCCTGTGCTTTACAGTTTTGGCCTCTGAAAGGAAATTGCCTTGTCGTAGATATTCTCTCCATAATTTTTGTCATTCTTATTCCAGAAAAAGAATAGTGTTGCCTGTTTACTGTGTCAGTTACATAGGACTACAAAGTGTGTGTAAATGACCTAACAGCTTACTTAATAGTGTTAACAGAAGAAAAATTCAGAATGAAGCGTTTTGGCCATGGGTTTTTTAAAATTTATTTTGACATAATTGCAGACTTAAAAGTTGCAGGAATAGTGAAAGAGTTCCCATGTAGCCTTTGCCCAGATTCTCTAAATGTTAACATCTTATCACATGTGCTTTATTCTTCTAGTTTCGTACATTTTTGTCTGGACTATTTGAAAATAAGTTGCAGGCACAATGCCCCTTTACTCCTAAATACTCAGGTGTTTATTTTATAAAATCGAGGGTGTTCTTTTAATATGACTCCAGTATAATTATCAAAATCAGGAAATTGATATAATACTATTATCTAATCCATAGACTTTATTCAGATTTTACCATTCGTCACAATGTATTTTATAGTAAAAATACGAGTTAGGGAATTCTGGCAATGATGTAGAAAATAGGTCAGAATGGGGAAGGCTGCACATACGCTATTTTGATAGTCTAGACAAGAGGTAATGAGGATAAGAGAGAATGAGGGCAGTAGCATTTAGAATAATGAGGGGAAGAGTTTAAGTTTATGCTTAGTGATTCTTATGCAGGCGTGCACATCAGAATTATCTGGGGACACTAAAATTTTTTTACCAGTCTCAACCCAAAATATTAACTCTCAGTCTCCCTTGCATGGAATTATGATCAAGTATAGTTCAGATTCAGATGCAAAGCAGCAGGTTTTGATAACTGGAATAGATATGGGGGTAGAATGTAGAATCAGTGATACTGGCAGGATTTCTAGTTTAGGTGACTGGGCAGTGCTGGTGCCAATAACTGAGGAAGGAAGCATTGGAGAGAGATTTTTATATATATATATATATGCGCCATATGTGAAGTTGCAGATAACATCGCTTAAATAGGTATACAGGATTCTTTTCGATTTTTGTATGTTTTCCATTTCTCCAGTTTAACTGGTAATACACTCTTCAGCTTTTCAAATTAAAAATATTTTAAGAATTTTTATTTTAGGTGGTTTCAGTGTATTGAGTTTGTTTGAAAACTTAGAGAATTACCCCCAAAGTGTTTATCTTTAGTCTGCATTAGTAGATGGCAGTGGTAAACAGCATCGGAGGAAACTATAACCTTGATCCTCAAGGCACCGTCCCTTCTGAAGAAATAAACGAGGCCAGCTTCTATTCAGCAGTGGTGTTTCGATTTTTCTTTTCCTCATCATCTTGGTTCTCTCCATCTTTCCCATCACAGTAAGTCACTCTGACCACTTGATTTTCTCTCTCTCATTCTCTTTCTAAGACCAGTTGATTCTGTCTTCAAAACACACCCAAATTTGTGAACTTCTGTTTGCTCAGGCCCAGCATCACCTCACACCGTCACTGTGTCATTGTGTCCTAACTTGGCTCTGGCTTCCTCTGTTGTTCTCTTTTCAGTAGGTTCTCTACACAGCAGCCAGAGTGGTTTCCTAAAGGTCATGTTGTTTATTCACCTGCTAAAACCTTTCATTGGCTTCCCTGTTGCACCTAAAATATAAAATTCTTTTTCCTAAAAGACCTCGCATTGTATAGCTCCTGCTTGCTTCTGTGGTTTCATCTTACACCACTCTCTGTGCTTAGGCCTCTTGACTCAGTTTTCAGTACCACCACACTTGCCTGGCCTGTTTGGGGAGGTTAGTCAAATTTTATATAATGTACTAATGCCCAATGCACAGATCTCACAGTGGCGAAACTTGATTGTAACCATGATCTACTTGACTTTTTGTGCCCACTATGAAATTGCATTCTCTATGTGTCGTGTTTTTTACATTGCGTTTGATAGTTTAGGAAGGACAAAAAATGATCTGTACCATGTGTGACCTAAGAAATCCAGTCTCCTTACTTTGTTTACATTGTGATAAAATGTACATAATAAAAAGTTTGCCATTTTAATCATTTTTAAGTGTACAGTTCCATGGCATTAAATACATTCACATTGTAGTGCAGCCATCACCACTGTCCATCTTCAGAACTCTCATCTTCCCAAACTGCACCTCTGTCCCCATCCAGCAGTACTTCCCTTCATCCCCTTCCTTCAGCTTCTGGCAGCCACTCCCTTTCTTTTCATATTCAAAACAGTGAGTTTAATATTGAAAGATGAGTTTATCTCTCTCATCTGAGGAGAATATACTTATTACTGGTAGTTATTCTAAGCAGTACATACTCTGTTTTCATCTCTCCGAATCCTTTTGTGGAGTGTGATAACAGGTCCTGATAATACTTTTTTCCTCCAGCTCTTCCTTCACTGTATGCTCATTGCTAAAAGCAGATGCAGTGGTTGGACATTGGGCTCTTGTATACCACTACTCTTGGATTTTAATCATTTTGAGGGATACAGAACAAAAGTGATACCTAGTTTTAGGTATGAAGTTCTGTTAAACACGACTGTCATACCACTAGGCAGTGAACACCTTAAAGGCAGAACTGTCACACTGACTATTGTAATCTTGCTGAGCATGTAACAGCTCTGTGAATAACAAATGAAACTTCAAATCACAAGTATGGCATAGGTTCAGGTAATGTAAACATGCTTATTTTGCAACTTCTGTGCAGAACAGATAATCTGAAGTGTATATATGCATTCACTAAAAGCTAAACTTGGCATGCAGATATTGTGATAAACTTGCAAGTGCTTGGTTTTAACCATCAACCTTTCTGTAGATATGTATTGTTTGTTATTTACATTTTACAGTTGAAGAAACAGGCATTGTGGTTTATTGCTTCTGTCTTCAACTGCAGTTAATTTGTTAGAGCATATATAGTATACTTAGTAAACGTACACATGGCATGTGTGTCAGTCATATTTCAATTTGTTAGAGGCCCAAGTCACAATTTATTTTAAACATATAATTCACATGCCATAGCATTCATTCATTCTGAAGTGTACAAGTAAGTGGTTTTAGTATACTCAGTTGTGCTATCATCATCCTCATCATCTAATTTCAGAACATTATCATCCCCTAAAAAGGAAAGCCCATGCCCATTAGCAGTCACTTCCCTGCCCTCCTTCCCCTGGTAACTACAGTTTATTTTTATGGATTTGCTTATTCCAGACATTGTGTATAACTGGAATCATACAGTATATGCCCTTTAAGGCTGGTTTTTTTCACTTAGCATCCATGTTGTGGCATGTAGCTTTCCTCTTCATGGCTGAGTAATATTCTATTGTTTTGATGTACTACTTTTTCTTTATCCATTCATTAATTCATGGACATTTGGGTTGTTTCCTCTTTTTGGCTGTTAGGAAAAGTGGTACTGTGAACACTCATGTGTGCGCATATGCTTTCACTGTCTTAGGTATACACTCAGGTGTGGAATTGCTAGGTCATATGGTGACTATATTTAACATTTTGAGCAACTTCCAAACTGGTTTCCAAAGTGGTTGCATCAGTTTACACTCCCACCAGCAATGTATGCAGGTTCTATTTTTTCCACATCTTTGTCAATATTTGGGTGTTTTGTTTTTTGTTTTGTTTTGTTTAGCCATGAAGTGGTCTCATGATTTTAATTTGTGCTTTCTTAATTTCCTAATGGATGTTTTTCAGGGGTTCCTAAAGATTTTCTATAAGTTCACGTCATCTGCAAACAAATGTGTTTATACCTGTCCAATCTAGGTGCCTTTTCTTTATCTTGTCTAATTGCCCTGGCTAGAATCTCCAGTAGAATGTTGAATAGAACTGGCAAGAATAGTCATTCTTGTCTCATTCCTTACCATAGGTGAAAAGTATCCAGTCTTCTGCTACAACGGATGATGTTAGCTGTGGGTTTTTATGTTGAAGAAGCTCGGTCACAACTTTAATTTGTAGGTTGACGATATACTCATGTTTAGTCTGTTTTGGTGACTTTTTGTGATGATTGTATATTTATATCCAAATTAGAAACGATCGTTTTACTGGATTACTAGGACTGGTAGATCACTGAGTTGGGTAAAATGTAATCTTAAGGTGGCATGTACAATGAATTACATGGAACATTTTGGAAAAACATATTTTGAGTGCTTAACCTGGGCCAAATAGGTATTTATTAAGACTTTAAAGATTATACATGTTG